TTCTGACTGTTTTGTCTATCTAAAACAAATATTTTATTTATTAGGTTTGTCGTATATTTCTACGTTTTCATTTGTTTTACAATAGAAAATATAATATGATCTTATCGCCTATCAATGTTATTACTATCTCGTAAGAAATTTGAATTTATTTCTGTACTTATGTACATACACATAGTAAATGATTAAGAAATAGAATCTTTTTTTAATATATTTGTAATTGATGTAATCAAAAACCGAAAAGTAGTTACGATTTCGCCCCAGTGTACTTCAGTAAACCCTCAGAATATTTAAGTGCGCTTTCTTATATTAAAGTCTAAGAGAATTCTAAAAATATTTTTATAAATTAAAAGATAAATGTTCGATAAACATTGAACAAAGATTTTCAAAGGTCTAGTACAGGAGATCCTCGCGTTATTGAAAGGAAAAGCATCGGGATTCCGACATAAGCCTGCGCCGATCCCACATAATTAGTTTCACATTTTTTTCCTCGCAGAACATAATATGGTTCCCGTCGGGTTATCGCCTGGTAAGGTGAAAAAAGGCGCGACAATGACAAAATCAACGAACGAGGCTTTGCAAAAGATTCCGCAGAACCTGCTCAATTTAAAATTAAAGCCACGAAACGTGTTTTTCGCCTATTTTATAAAAATCTAGGGATATGAGAACAATCTTCGACGGATAAGCTGATGTCATACGCAGAAGTTATAGAATATTTTACCGTATGCAAATAGGATTTTTTTCTCTTGTAAAATTATACGGTGCGCATTCACACACGCTCGTCGGTTAATTCGAATAGTAGAAATCACATAGTAATTTTTCGTATTAAGAATTTTAATATAAAACAAATGAATGGATAGTTCATATAAGGTTAAACGGACGTTAAGAAACAAAACGTGACATTTATGTATTGTTAACTTAAAATGAATTACGTTTTTAACGCTGACCTCTATACTAAATGGATCGGCGCTTACTTGGAACCGGTAGCTTTAGCTTCGTTTGGACTAAAACAGGTGTATTGATGATATCGATAGTTTAATTTATTTCTATTATTGCCATCATGACAAGCCGCAGCCTTCATTGTCAAAATTACATAAATCACATGCCATTCCTTATAGCCTGTCTATTAGTGGAGGTTATTGGATTTTAAGTCAACAGTCATTTGTTACTTTTTATTCTGTGCAAATTATTTGTCCAAAACGAACTGGCTGGCTAATTTTGCAAAGTGGAGATTTATAAAAAAACTAAAGTGACAGCAAATTGATTAATGTAGCGAGCACAATAGAGTTGTAATGTATAAATAAAGCAGCATTTTAATCCCCCCATTTAAATTCAATAGCGAAAGCGGCAAGTGCAAGCCTAATCATCGCAATATAATGCTTCGTTGCTTTCTGTTGGGGTTCGTTTTTTGTGCGAGACAAAGATAGCTGTTCTATTTAGCGAAAATTACTGTAAGTTAGAAGAAGACCGTAATATCGATTCATCGGAATAAAGTTTTAATGATAGCGAATTTTGTGGCGTTGATGGATTGTGCTTCGTTGGTTTTGCGTCGCTTTCAACTGTTTTTCTATATTTTTTAAGGTTATTTGTACATCGTAAAAAATGTAAGAAAAAATAATGTTAAAAAAATCAAATTGATCCATGAAGAAACCACATACTTAATACGTAGGTTTACCTGCGGTCAAGAAGAAAAAAAAAATAACGCACGTAATCCACATAAACGATGAAAAAAAAAACTAAATTCAAAGATTGTTCTTTAAAAAAATATAAACAAACAAACCATGTAGTGTACAGTATGCAGTAAGGTCCCTAGCGAGAGCGTGACTAATTGCGCAACTAAACATCCGGGGGGCCTGTAATCCGATATTGATGCGTTTGTAAAAACTATCCGATTAGTTGACCCGGCGCGCGTCGCAGACACGCACCCCTCGCTCTTGCCAATTTGTCTCCATTACTCTATTAAAATGCAGGTGGAATTCTAAATTTTAAATGAATAATAACAAATATGCTATAATTTTAACAAATATATAACAAATAATCTATTAAACATATCTACATATATTCTAAGCAACATTTAGAAAAATGTTTAACCTAACATAATTATGAAACACTAGCTTTCGGCCGCAAGCTTGTCCGAGGAGAATTAAAAAAATAAAAGTGAGTAGCCTATGTGTTCCGCCAGACGATACTCTCATTTAGACCAAATTTCATTGATATCTGTTCAGCCGGTTAGGCTACAAACTCTTACAAAGATACATCCATCCATCTAAACTTTCGCATTTAAAATGTTAGCGTAATTTCTAAAACTAGAATGTCATAAAAATACTCTTATAACACAGGTTAGCATAAAAATATTTTACGAATTTCAGTTCTAATAGGATTAATTTTGTCACAAGTGTCACATTTACTTAAAAAATAAAATAAAAAAGATGCTTCTTACGCCAAAAATCAGGTGCAAAAACACATGAAATTTACTCTATGACAAGTTGCAGTACAAAAGCTTATCATTGAGGGTCTGTATGAATGATCTCTAATTTTGTATACAGAATGATGACATTGCGCAGCCCACATCCCGTCACGCTCATCATACCCGATCACCCGTGACGACTACGTAGTCAAAGAATTAAATTCACCTCCAACTTAAGATCGAAAATCGTACAGCAAAATGTCACAATAAGGACTACAATGTGCCAAATATGTATGCTGCTTTCACTCATTTTAGACCTAATTGCATTGTGAGCTACAAAGGAAATTATACCAAAATGGGTAGGTTATAAACTTCCTCGACTGTACATTGTCACTGATTATGACATCGATCGACATAATTTTTAGCACGTGCATATTACAGTTTGTGTTTATGGTAATACAATTAAGATTTTATTACTTACATTTTGGGCTTTTCTATTTATTTATTGTGCAATAAAAAATCTACATTTATTTTATACTAGCTTTCGCCCGCGACTCCATCCGCGCGGAATTAAAAAAAAACAAAAGTGAGTAGCCTATGTGTTCTTCCGGACTATCCTCTACATCTATGTCAAAATTTCATCGTTTAGGCTTCAGACGTTTAGGCTACAAACTCTAACAAACATCCATCCAACCATTCATCTAAACTTTCGCATTTATAATAGTAGTAAGATAGTTTTATAAATTACAAAGTTAGTGGCAAAACTTCAAAATTATCCAAAACAAAACAACAAATTTAATAACATGGTCATAACTAAGTACATTCCGGGAAATTAGCGGTGTTCCACTTTAAAACCTACAATCGTTTGAACATTTTGCAATAAGACGCGGAACATCAATTAATACAATACAGCTTATAAATGTGTCTGTATGAAAAAACTAGGTTAGTGACACGTGGCTAGATTCTATTTATTATTATCCCTTCGTTTGCACTCACTGCTATCTGATTAGTTATTTGTAGGAGCCCGAGTTTGTCTCGTTGCAATGAACAAGTCAATTTTTCCAAAAGTAAAACACCGCGGATTTCCACGACTGTACATTCATTTTAATACAAAACAAAAGAGACAATGTAAATGTTTATATTATCCCATCTCTCAGAAGCAACACATCTTAATAAAAATGAAACGGCCGAAGTAATGACTACATCGTACGTACGGGACGCGACGACAATCAAATGAAACACGAAAAGTCCCTTTTATTTTATTTACTATCCCAGTTGAGTTTAAAACGGGATTTATTTGCCAATATAAAAGAGATCCTCATCGGTATTCATGAAGATAACCAACAAATAGATTGGAAACGCTTCGAGTACTATGCCTTGTAGCAAGTTCTTCCAATACGAAATATTTTTTCGTATTCGATCTTGTATACTATCATGTTGACATTTAATCATAGTAATATTATAAATGCGAAAGTTTAGATGGATGGATGTTTGTTAGATTGGTAGCCTAAACGGATTTCGATGAAATTTGTTAAAAATATAGAGGATAGTCGGGAAGGACACATATGTAAGCTACTCACTTTTATTTTTTTTTATTCCACATGGGCGGAGTCGCGGACGAAAACTAGTCTAATATAAAGGCTTAAAGGCTCTCCATTTATCTTTAACTCAATTAACTTCAGAATTAAGACTAAGAATTATTTCTTTTAAGAGGACAGATTCTTCAACAGATTTCAATAATAAAGGAAATATTAAATTTAATTCAGAAACTCCATTACCGAAGTACTTGATAATATTAGTAACATTAAATGAAAATCCATACATTTACGTCTTAAAAATATATACCTTTATCTATTATAGTGTGCACTTCTAGGAACCATTTAGCTAAGTTTACCTTATAAACGTAGGATGCGAGGTGCATCGTAAATATTATACGAAATAATATTTGCACCGCTGTATTTATTGCATCTACAGAACACGCTAACAAGAGCATTTTGAGTAAAATAATATAATTCGTCTTAATCAGAACTTATCACTTACAGATCAGTAATAGGATACTTTAACTTCTTATTTAATTTTAGTAACGCATTAATCCGGATGTTTATGTTTTAATGTAAAAATTATAACAATAAAAAGAATATTAATTACTTGAAATAGAAACGCAATTACACAAACATAAGTTATATTTTAATTGATAAAGAAATTATCATTTGATTTTATCAGTATTTTGTTAGAAAAGTCATATCTGAAGAAGTTAAACTAGTACAGCCTTACAAATAAACGCGGTATAAAGTTGAACTTAGGAATAAACTGAGTATATTCGAAATTTGTACTAATATATGTTTAAACTCAGTTTATTTGTAAGGCTGGTCTACCATCTAGATTTTTGTGGCATAAAGTTCATAACTATCTAACAAAATTTCTTCCACTTTCACACAAGGGTAGAACAGTAAGAGATGTGTCACTTCAAACCCAACGGTAAATCTCCACGATCCTCACGCTTGTAAAATTACTATTCCTCTCATTATCTCTAGAAAAACCAGAGATAGCAATAATGTTCGTACAACTACGTTCGTATGAATAACAAATGACTCACGCTTTAGTTTCTCCAGCGGTTCATGGTGCAGTGGAGGAGCGTGGTGCAAGGGTGCGTGCTGCGGCTCATGATGCAGCGGTGCCATGAGGCTGGAGATGGCAGAGCCGACTGACGCCGCCACCGACTCATGCAGGTGCCCCCCATGTAGTTCCAGTTC